TGCCCCGGGGAACGTGTTCAAAACCCATTCTTGTGTTGACTGCTCCATGAGAATCCCCATGATCTGCACCCCTACATGCAACTGCTCTTCAATCAAACCAAAATAATTAGCAGGTGATCTCAGGTGGTCTACAATTTTCTTGAATGCAAGGCATATAGGACTCCAAGATCGAGCCAACTCTGATCATGACAGCCAACTTTGATGCTGCGTCTTTGCTGGACGACGCAAAAACGACGCTGGACAACGACAGCCCAGTCGGTCTTCGGTCGCACCACCGAGGTCGGCACGTTTTGTATTGGTTCGACATCTGGTTCAAGCTGTCGAGGCCCTCGGGGACGACGATCGCCAACGTCTCATGGTGCTGCGCATCGTCCTGAGGTAGGAAGGTCGGAAGGAAGCGCCTGGCTGGAACGTTGGCTGGAAGAGTAAGAATCTGTTTGGAAAGTTTGGACCATGATTAGAAATCGTTTAGTTTTAATCCATTTTATGCTTAGCATAAAATGACCCTTTGACTTGGCTGGTCACATGTGCATTGGCATCCCAATCGATCACTCTTTTCGCTACAGGATCGATCCTGCAGGCGCCCGAACGTCTGCCAAGTCGCAGTGATGGATTTCGTCACTGGAATCTCGTTCCAGCCCCAATAGCTATGCGTGTCCTAGACATTGCAGGCTGCAATCGTTCCAAACCAATGGCCGAACCACGTGGGGCCGACCATGGCTTTGGATTTCGTTACGAGGTGAGCTGATCTGAAGGATGTTCAAGTTGCAAAACACCAGAACATGCTCCAAACCCACAAGAAGAAAACACACATGTTGAATCATATTCTTTTCGTCATCCCATTTGCCCCGCACCTTTCACTTGCTGACACCACGATAAAATTTGTATGCGTCAAAACCCGGGCAGTCTAGTTGACCCTGAAAAAACAACGAATGCCCCGGGACGTCAACCTACCATGGCTTGGTGGGGGAGGCTGGGGGAGGTTTTGACTCACAGCCCTGTATGCAATGTTCTATAATGTTCTGCACCTTAGCAACTTTGAACATTCCACATCCATCCTATAACCGAAAACGGTGACCGCGGCACACCGCCACACCGCCATCGCAACCAAACCCAAATCATCCACGTTACCAGGAGCGCTGCAGATTGACAAAGTCATGCCCTACCAAGTAGCGTTACTATCATCTTCAAGGACCCACCAATGGAAGGGAAAGAAACGCCCAAACTCATTCTGGGTACTCATGTTTCATGGTTTGCAGCAGGAAATGTCCGTCTTGAGGCAACCAATATCGACTCAATCCGACCCAAGCACCTTTCAAAGGGTCTTAAATTTCCGGTACCAGAACTCATCTGGTACACATCTTAGCTCACCATAGCTCACCTCATCGGTGCTTATAAGCAGAATATATAGATCGCTCCAAGGGTGCACAAGCATGGTTAGAATCTCTGTGGGCAAGTACCTAAGTAAACGTGGACAGTTCACCCGATAGCACATGGTGGCCCGACATCCTCTGGAGTCGGGCCACTCTCTTCACATTTCTTGACCCTCTGAAAACAAGAATCCGTCCAGTCAGTACTGTATTCCGTTCGCTTCAAGTAGAACCAGTTCTGCAAATTGATCATGTCGCGGATGTTGTTCATCCAACAGCCGGCCACATCACGGTTCTGAATCGGAGCTGGGAATCTCCCTGCGAGTCTTTCGAAAGTCGCGCTTGGAAGCATCGGTGAGACACGCCGCAAAGCATCTATTTAAGCAGTATATACATATATATATATAATACTTATTTTTAAGCGGTCAGAAGTAAAATGTAAACCTTACACTCACTAATGTCCTTAATTAAAATAACACGATAATCTTCTATTCAAAAAAAAAAACTACAAACATCTACACACATATTTAAACATGTTGTTTTCTTTCCCCACCAACATGCTCCGCGGCTGGGCGACATCTAGGTTGTTGAAATCTAGATGTCGAAGATTTGAACAAACAGGGTGATGGATTGAGTGGTCAGGGATGTTTTTGATTTATCACCCGACCCTACTTGAGATATTCTCAAAGCTGTTAGATGCGGATGGTCAGTTTGTATGCGCAAAGAAACTCACGCCTATACACATGCAGGCTCATTCGCTGGTTGTGGACACCAACCACAACCTGTGTACCAGGAGCCCCTTCATTTAGGTTGTTGGCCAACGTTCTTGGAGGCCCTCGCGACTAGATTGAAGGCCATTCCATTTTCATAAGAACTACAGAACCTTGGAACTCGAGGCCTGCGATGGACTCTCCCGTACGTGCCTCCGTCATAGTTCGTCCCGTACTGTACCCAGTGGTTAATCCACTTGTCCCAACAATTGGGCGCGCCCCCCCTGATAACCTCAGTCGCTTGAGGACATCGGGAGTCATGAGTCTACATGTTTTGTTCATTCAGCGCCCAAACATGCACAAGATTCACCAAATGACCCCTCTTGTTTCCGCAAAAGGTGAAAGGCCTTGTTGGTCCAGCAGTCTGACATCACGAGTCTGACTCTGTCCCAAGAGTTGTCGGACGAGGTGAGAGAAAGAACACTGTTAGACTGTAGTTAGACTTTCATAGAAAGAACGGTTTGGTGAGGCTGACCGTTCTCTGTTGAAAAGGTCCAGGATCCCAAGGTGGACCAACGAAAAGAACGCCATCCCAGTGAACGTGTGGGTGCTCAGTAGTGCGGGCCTGGCCCGGTGCATCCCCAAGTCTTCTCCAAGTGGCCAGAGTAGGCATAGTTGTTGCAGCCAACTGTCTCCACAAAAGCCCGATTACCTGAACTAGCGCTCCAATCTCACAGTTGTATAGATGTGAAACGAACTGTGAAACGAACTGTGGACTGGTTGCGACCTGTCATTCAGCAGAAAACCACGGACCAGGTGCTAAGCTGGGACCAGGTGCCAAAAGGAAGGCTAGGTCCCTACTCTGTGTTCGGGACAGCCAGGCTTAGCCTGCATCTGGGAGGCCTATCATCACTGCCACAAGAAGTCCTTCTGGGACATGAAGCCGTGAAACCTCCCACAAGTCACAGCCCCTCTGCCTTGAAATGGCATGGTGAAGCCTCACTCCTTCGCCTTCTTGTTTGGTGTTTGGCGCATCCCACTGGTAGTGATCACCTGCAACTTGGCGACTGATCCCACGACTTCGGCGCCACTCATGAGCTTCCCGGCGTCACAACACTCATTGCGTTCACTCATGCACTCACTCATACTCAGCCCAACTTCCGAGGTCCATCATTGCTGCATCTGTCAGGGCCCATCTGTTCTGAATCCGATCCCACGCGAGATGCCATGCCCCCGCGCGTACGTGTGAGGGGCCGCCATAAACCACCTGGCTCCCTTCGTATCATCCCAGTCCCGGGCAGTTCTTCCTTTTGCATAAAGATCATAAAGCTTACCTCTGAGTGTTTCCATGTCTCCTCTGTTCCCTCTTTTCTTCACTCAACCTGATCTATGCTGTGAAAAGCCTCAACCTGGCAGGGGAGTGAAAAATCATGGGCTTCCAAGGGCGCGATCCTCCTGAGGAGGATAGTAGGAAGCCTGACCGCTCCAACCGTTGCCTTCAGAAAGGGGAGAGAGTGTCAGGAGAAGTTGTGAAGGCTTTTGCCTCTTCTCCCGATCTCCTCCCTATATCGTTCCTTCTCTCCTCTTGTCCTTCTTCTTTCCTTTTCTGGTCCTTCTCATGGACCCAACAAAAGGACTGATCCCGAGCCCCCACATGAACCCCTGCAACTCTCCGAAGCGCTACAACTACCGCGGCAGCTCATCACAAATCAGTTCAGCGCACAAGGAAACGACTATTTTCTTCCCCCTGGTGCTAAGGCCATGAACTTAGACGTCCTCGGACGTCCTCAGGCCGTGGGCTCGGTGGGCTGTTTCGAGCCGGGATGCGATCCCACAACCAAACAGCCGGAAAAAGCTTCGTTCGACAAGCCTCTAAGCCGGTTTCCACGTTGGGATTCTACACATATATTGCTATCCGTGGTTCCTCACCAAACCAACCAGTGGCGTGATTTATAAAGTTTGAAGCAGCTTTGCAGATTGTTCACTGAGGTTCAGGGTGTCCATTTGTCCCAGCGACACTCGCAATCCAAATTCTTGGCGATGTTCTGCTGTTGGCCAGCAAACGAGCCGCGGGCATTCAGCTGGTTGATCTCAGTGAATCCTTTGGCCCTGCAAGTGAAGAAACATTGGGCGAAAGCAAGATTCCGCAAGCCATGAAAACACAAAAACAAAAGAGCGATGGCCTCCAACCTACTAGGGATGGCCTCCAACCTACTAGCGATGGCCTCCGACACGCCATTAAGAAACACTAAACCGAACGCTGAAAGCGAGACAGAACGTAGATTTGCAAGAGTAACTCGACGAGTAGCTCTGATTCTCCCCCTGGTTGGAGGCTCATCATCTGGTGTTGGATTATTAACACCAATCTATGATAGTCTATGCAGTACTTCAGGTGGTGTGGTTATTTGAATCATTTGGATGGTTTGAGGATGCGTCATAGTAAGCCTACAATAACAATAGTTACAACATTTTAGGAATATGTTCAGTTGCGTTGCAACTTGACAGTGCATAGTCTTAGCCTTTCACTCAGAAGAAGGACAAATGGAACTATGCCAAGGGTGCTTCTGAAAACATTCCAAGTCCTCAAGGGGACAAGCAAAATGTAGAAGCAAGCAGTTTGTGAGTTTGTGTTATCCAACCAGGCCAAGTAGATTGTAGATGTCGTCCTGCCCACGAGCAGGTTCTTAATCTTTTCTGTGCGCCACAGGTTCTGAGTGAGCTCCCTTTCACCATTTTACTTGCAAAACAACACCACAGAACCCAGCAGCACTTGGGGCCCAATGTCTCTTCGGGTTCTTGGGCTGCATGAATCAACAACAGGTTGACAACTTGATGCGCCTGTATTATTCATATTCCCCTTCTATACCCGGCTATACCCCTTGTTGGTGCTGAATCCAAATGAAACAATGTTTTACAATGACGTGACGCACCATTGGCAGGAGATGTGGTCCGTTCCACCCCGAGTCATGAAATCTATCGACGAGGCTTCGTCGTCTTTGGAATCACATCGACGAGGCTTCGCGCTCGAGGGAGGGAGAACTCGAACTGGACCAGCTGAAGACTCGAACCAGCATGAGTTTGGTGAAGCTGAAAGTATGAGTCGTGCTGACCGAGCAGTGAACAATGTGGTGAGGGAGCATGATGTGATGCGCCAAGCTTCTTATCAGTATAGGCGTGACAACCAGTTCCACCGCCCTTCTTCGCGCCCTGTCCATAATATGGATTACCTCGATCGGGCCGATCGGGCGACGCAGCTAAAAGCACATCCTTTTTTGGACGGACACGGTTTTCGCATGCAATCTGTGAGATGTCCACTTGCGGGGAATCCCTCAACATGCGGAAAACCATTCATGCGTCAACCTGTCACATTCCACTTGTGACGGTCTGGTTTCCCAGTATCCTAAACTGGCTGCTCAGCTCGAATCGGAACCGGAGCAGCTGAGCGATTGGCCTCCAACCCAGCGAGACCAGTCTTCGAGGCATTCCACAACCAATGAAAGCAATAACATGCAATAACAAAACACCCACAGGTCTCACCGGAGTACCACAACTCCACCTTTCCAACCACTCCCCACAACTCGGGTCACTTGCACCCAAAAACTCGTTATAGGCCACAAAAATCAGAACAAAACCCTAGAACGTGAAAACTCGTCTAGAACTGCCTCGCCGGGTGACCAATCTCGAAGCCTTGAGTGCCAACTGCCTGCGTGCTCTGCGTCCAAGCGCTCGTGGTCTGGTCGATGAAGCCTCCCCGGTGGACGCTCCGCTGAGGACGACGGTGGAACAACGGTAGAACCACGGCAGGCGGACGTCGCCCAGTTGAAGCGGAACGGGGCTGCATGGGCCGGACAGGAAGAAAACGATGGTGAGGAGTGCATGGGGTGTGGTGATGGAAAAAGTCCATGACGATGGGTGACTTTTCTGACAAGCGCAGTTACAGGAAAGCAACCAATCTTTGTCAAGGGACCCTGGATTGCGCCAGGATGGATGCGAAATCACAAAAAATCTGGGAGTTCCTCCCAAGGACCATGTTCCCTCCCAGGACTGTCATCCCTTTTTTGGTGGCGCACCAACATCGCATGACATGGTTGAGGCGCAGCAAATCAGAATTTGGATCGAGTTTTTTCAACAAAACCGGGCAAAGGCCGGCTTTGGTTTGATCAATTCTTTCTGCTGAGTCCACCGTATACGAAAACAAGAAGTGCAACACTTCAGAGAACGAGGGCTGGGGTGGATTCCGGACCAAGATCGGTCGACCGGTCGCAGTCATTGGACGAACGGACAGGAGTCCTTCGACCTCAACATAAAGGTTTTGATACGGCCTAAGGAGCTTGGATGAATTGGAACGTCGAGGCCCAATCGGTACCCTCTCCGCTACGAAGCCCATGCTCAGAACTCAGAACTGAATATGAATATGAATGCCAAACGGGCTTTTGGACGCAAAACCGAACGCTCTCCCCCACCAATTGACGCATCAACACCCCATGAACCGCCAGCGAATTCTGCGTCCATTCTGGTTCGTCCATCGGCGGACCCCGAAGCGTCCACGCCCGAACCGTCCACGCCCGACCTCATCCTCTGGCGCCCTGATTAAAAATCCTGGCGTTCCGGGTCTGGACACGATGTGCGTGATAGACACGGCGTCGTCGCTCGGCAGCTCGCGCGAACTGTTCTTCGCCGAGACTCGCCGATCGGATGGGCGGGGCTTGGCGGGGGGGTGTTTTCAGCTCGACCGAATGGCATGGACCGAAATCCGATGACGCCCACCGATGCCACATTCTGTCCACCACGTTCGCATCCGATGATGCAAGTCTAGAGGGACCGCGTCCAACGAGGATGATGGAAGCGGTGGACGGTGACGGAAAGTGCTCTTGATTTCGGATTGGATTTTGCTTCGACGATCAAACAGGGGGTGAACATGATGAACTCCGCTGCCGTGATATAGTTCCAGGGAGAGTAGTTGGATGACTCAATGAGGATTATTAAACAAGCCCGAGGTTGTGCTACATCAGGTAAACATAAAAGTATAGTTTTGAATCATGCCGATCCGGCAAATGGTTTCCATCAATCGCTTGAGTTTTGATGGCGGTGGCCGGATGTATATATCCTCTTATCCTAAATCACAATTGAGCGGTTCTGAAAACCTCGATATAGATTCCTATGTCGTATCATTGTGCTTACGCGTGTGCTTACGCTGCCTCACGCGACTATTGGGTCTCCAACTGACACACGCGCGCACCAGCACTGTCGACATAACACCACCAGGCGCTAAACTCAAAACCATCGAAAGCTCACCGCTGTGGCGCTTCGTTCACGCGCGCGAACGTCGTTCGCGCGCGCCGACGCCGTGCCCGACAACCATCGGTCGGCGTCTCCTGCAGTCGTAGCGGTTCTGGTTCTGTTCGCTTCGGCAACGTTGGTCCACCGAGTTGGAATCGGCCGGATAGAACCTCCGGTTGGGTGGTGGCGTCCGTTGGCGTCCCTTGAAAGCACCGGTGGTGCCGGGGCGAAAGGAAACACGTTGGAAACGGTTTGAGTATAGGGAAGTTGCCACCAGTTTGAGTTGCAAACCGTGCTGTGTTCCTTGTTGCGTGCAGGCTTAAAACCAACGGTCTATTGAAGGAGAAGGCCGAGACGAGATGAAGTTTAGTGTAGAAAAAGTCCTCTTATATCACTTATATCCTCTTATGGTTAAACGGCAAAGGTTTTGATTGAATCTTATAGAGAAGCAATGTTTGGATATATGTTTGGCATGAGGGATGCTCTATCCTGGTGGCAAAATTTTAAGTCTTTCAACTCGTGGGCTGGATCACCAGGTGCTGGGGATTTGGGGCAAAAGGGGGCCGACCTTTGAGCGCTTCAATATGTCGACCTGTCAGCTCTGGGAGTGTATGGTGAGTATAGTTACATGTATAGTATATGAGTACGGGAATGTACTGCGATGTGTATGATGCGTATGGGAGTGTATGATGAGTATATACATGTAGTTCCAACAAGTCCACTGCCGTCACACCATGTGTCCGGCCGAAACGATTGCAACGCGAGTCCAACGCCCCGGAATCCCGATCCATCCCGCGCGCGTCGGATCCTGCTCAGTGCCCAGATTTCCAGTGACCTGGAAGTCTATATCTTTCAGTGGTCCGACTTGGAGGGTAGAGCTGAAGCGTTTCTGAGTTCATTCGTTGATCTTGCAGCGATTTTTGTCACATCCACCGGTTCCGTCCGGTTCCGTTGTCTCCAAGGAACACGCCCAGGTAGTAATCCTCGTCCTGTGTGTTGGTTCCAAACCTGAGTTCCAAAACAAGGTCGCATGTGCTGTGCTCTCCATGCTTTTTGGATGAATCCCAACAAAAATACACATCCTCTTTGAGTGGCTCGACTTTCCAAGTATTTCCGCCTAAAAATGTCCAAAAACATGTCCACCTCTCCAATGAAAAACCAAAAACACAGATCACCTGCCACATCCTAGCCAGGACAGCCAGGACGCAAGGTGTTGAAGGCCCATTCATCCAAGATCACTCCCACCGACGCCACATTTGGGTCGATGTTCCCATTGTCATCCGCCGGGAAGACCGGATTTGGAGCGATGATGTCCTCGGCGCGGCGCTTGGTGTGGAGCTGAACATCCTCCGAAATGGAGCAGAACATCTGACCGTCAGACCTGATAAATCTTGCAACCCATTTCTATGAAACAAGTAGTATACGGTCTTCAAGACTCATTGCTGATCAACGAGCCCGGCAAGACTTTGAAGGCGTCGTTTCCAAAGAAGCCATCGTTCCTCAGAAGCAGCGCGGAGCACTGTGTTTTGTTTTACCAGACGCGACCCTGGACCCTCCGTTCAGTAGGGGCCGTACCCTCATATGGAGGGGGTTCCGAGGGACCCAGGGAGAACGGAGCGTCTACCTATAGGCAGAAACATCACCTGGACTTGCTGGACAAGCTGAACAAAATCTGTTGAGTTTTCAGATCCACTCTTTTCAAAACAACATCGACTTCTTTTGTTGATCACAGTCGAGGATATTGTCCTCTAGCCTTTATGTTTCTTGGTAGCCACCAAACATGGCATAGAACATCGCATCATCTGCCTGGCATACCCTTTACGCCGTTCGACTTTTTGCGTGGGTCTCCATATCTTCCCAAGATCTCCCCCACTGCTCCCACCAGTCCCAGAGCAAATCCAACCATCAAAACCACATCCAATCACATCCCTACATATTCCCACATCTTCCATCATCTTCCCACAACCCCTAATTCGGCCACAACTTCTCATCTCGAAAGATCACGCCCTGTCCACCCTTGTAGACCGCGCCGGTGACTGCCGAGCTGATCAAACCATTCAGCAAATCCGTCACGCTGGTGCTGGCGCCACCGCCGCCGCCGCGACACTTCTTGGCCTGTTTGCAGCACATGTTCTTTTCCTCGGCCGCGCGAACATCGGGTCGAGCGATCGTCGGGTCTCTTAACGAGTGACCGGTCGACCGGTCTGGTGACGAGTGAGGTAGCGAACTCGTTCGTCATGTTAGTTCGTAAAAAAGTTACAGCTAACTATCTGATGCCTGGCTAGTTAAATGGTTCTTGCATTGTCAGGTTGAGAATGAAGCGAAAACTCTGGAGCAATCTCAACTCCTTCCTGCAAGACTCCCCTTCCTGCCGACGCCGCGCCAACCGTCCCCACTGCACCGAAGAAAACCGCAGAAAAAGGGCGCCGACGGGTCTGGAAAAAGGGCGCTGAAAGAAGGAAGCGTCGCGCTAGAGAGCGCTAAGAAGCTTTATAGCGATGGCCTCCATCTTTAGTAGCTTCTATAGTTAGTATACAAAGCTTTGCTACTAAGAAGCATTGGACGACACCCCTTGAAACCCATCGATCACATGGCCCGTGGAATGTCGCGGAATGTCGTTTCCAGACTTCCCTTCTTCGCCCAGCGGCACGGCACAGGAACTTCACCAGACTGCAGCGCTTGGCCAGGCAAGGGCAAATGCTCTGTTTACGTCGGGTCTGATTCGCCTTCACCTGGCGGGTTCCAGGTCGAAGGTCCATCGGTACCCGGTCTGCGGAACAAGTCCGGGTCTGCACCAGTTCAGCCGGGCGCATGCAGATCATGGTTTCCCATATAGGGAATATACGGATTTGGAGGGGTCTGTGAGTGCTTCACGAGTCGTTTGGGTTTAGGTACTGTTCGGTCTCCGGATCTGAGCAATGCTCCAACGACTCCAACTAGGCCCTCTCAGAAAGGGACGTCTCCCGGTCTACAGAGAATCATCTTCGACCACGGATGGAACTCTTGTACCCGCAAACTAACATCCCTAGGGATCCAAGTACCTTCTCAGAAGGTGATTGGAGGCACTGTTATGTAGGTTTGGAGGGTCCAAGTACCTTCTGAGAAGGTACGACTGGATCCCTAGGGCATGGTTCCATGTTAATCTGCAGGGTCACAGCCCTAGTTCGTGTCGGACGAGACTAGCACAGAGCAATCATCACGTTTCCACAGATCAGATCCCATGGTACACGCGTTCCCCCCATTTGAGGCCGGAGGTCTCTAAAGAAGGGGCAGCCTCGTGACCGGGCGAAGAAGCCGAGTTTTTGCGCCAAGAGTTCGACTAAAAAGTCAACTCTATAGTAGCGTCCTTGCTCCTGGCATAGAACTTTGCAACACAGCTTCGAAATACTTAATTCACATAGGTTTCACATTATTACTGTCCATTCTCTCACCCTGCGGCACCCCTTGTATACTGTATTAAGAGACTAATACTCCTAAAAACTACTACTAAATTGCTGGATATTTGACTCCAGGAAGTGCTCATCATCACAAGGCGATTCTGGAAACCACTCAAGTCCGGGAGAAGCTCTTCTTTGAAGTTGAACATCTCTTCGGCCTGAAGCAACGGCGCCGCATCTCCATCACACTTTTCACAGCTGGAATTCGTCGGTCGCGCGGACACCAGCGAGAAAGCCACAAGGACGGCCAGCGAGAAGAAGCGGAACATGAGCGCCGGGCGTGAACGACGCGTCCACTCTTCACTCGCTGGGGACAAAAGACAAAGGCTCGCGCGTGGTCACGGCCGGTGATGGTCTCTGAAAGCCCAGTCGACGCGACGGTCTCCGAAAGCAGGCGAGCAGCGATGTTGTGCTTGGTTTTGCGCAACAATAACTTCAGCATGGAGAACTGGATTACACCAAACTCGCTCAAGGTGGTGGATGGGTGGCCACTAAGAAATGCCTTTTGTTCATCCCTGGTCCAGTTTTCATTTCAGGCAAACCCATGCACAAAGGGCCCCCCAGGGTTCACAGGTAAGGGGTGCTTCATGCAGATCGGATTTAGAACTGTCTAAAACATCCCACCCGGCTCCAACTACGAGGTTGAGAAGGTGGTTGGGGTGGTTTGGGGGGGGGGTCTAGCCACCTGAGGATATGGTTGGAGCCCTAGTTTGTTTCTTTATACATAACGGTGTTCATTTCCTGACCCTCAGATCAGACCTGTCACCACTCCACTATGCTCCCCTGCCCTCCACTGAGACTTACCGAGTCGGTGAAAGGCTTTACCAGAACGCCAAAACATCTGGATTGCGTCAACCCTTTAGTCACTGGACAGTTCAGTCTGACCTCGAGTTGGTCATCTCGACTTACTCAATGGAGCACAAACAGGGGAGACGTCGGACCGCCGAATCTCGCTGTGGGGTGCGAATCCGAAGCCTTGGACCGGACGGAGCGGGACCCGCTCGACCGACCCGAGACGGGACCGACGGAGCGGGTCGGACACCCGGAGGTGGATTCGGGGGGGTTGAAAGGGTCCACCAGGACATACTAGGAGCTTCCTGTGACAGGGTGTCCTCGGCTGGTCCGCCACCATGCCTACACTACATGGAATCCACGGGACGACAGGATGGTCCATCTAGGTGCACCGATGAAACGTTTCGGTCATGTCTAGGCAATGAAGGCGCTCAAGAGACCGCCCCCACCACCACTTCATCCGAGTTCATCTGCCAAAATGGCAAACGATCATGCCTTCGACACGTGTCACCAAAGTCTCCCCCGAAAGAAATGTGGACTAGTGACTAGTACTAGTCCTTCCTCCTTGTCTCCCCCCCCAAATGTGGCGGACTAGTCCTTCGTCCTTCCTCCTTCGGACGTCAAGTCCTTCACTCTGAGTCTCCCGGGCCACTTGGGATCTGTCTCCTCGGAGCAGGCAGCCTGGGCAGAACGCAGCGCGAGCACTCAGTTCCACGGGCTCCCGCTGGATCGCGGTGGGATGGGTGGGACAAGTGGGATGAAGTCATGTGTGTTGAACCCTGGTTTCAAGTACCAGACCGGTGCCAGGGTGGTCTAACCACCTTTTTGGAGGGCTCCAAGGAGCCCTGGAGTGTTCATGATACGTTTTCTGAATAGTGACAATTGACCAATTCAGCAAGTCACGTCATTGGAGGTGCAGAAAAGCTCGCTTTCATAGATGATACACAGGAAAAACACATTTGTTCTGCACTCCCTGGAACTCACATGGAAGTGGAGAATGGCCCCTTGGAAGACCATTCTCCACTACAAACAGATGGTTTTCCACTTCCATGTTAGTTCCAGGGAGAGTAAGCAGAGCTTTTTCTGTGCCAATCTAATAGTGTCAAACGATTCTCCGAACTCACGAGCTGAAACGGACGTCCTACTGCCACAATAAAGACGATAAGGAGGGGTGCGTGTTTGCTTGGCAACGGGTGCTGTGGGGAATGGCCATGGGATACACAGTCACTGCACAGGACCTGGCAGACCGAGTCCGAGAGACAGCGAACGGGACTGAGACACTCTCGACACCACACGGAGTGACCACACGAGTGATTGGTCTAGGTCTTTTGTTCTTCCTTGTTTTTTTCTTCCTTTTTTTCAGTTTTTTTTGTTTATTTTTAAAATAATGTTTTATCATCTGGTCTTTTTTCTTACGTCTTGTCTCTTCTCTTCTCTTCTCTTCTCTTGTTCTTCTTCTGGTCAGGCCTGCCCCCTGTTGGAAAAGCATGTTTTTTTAAAGCAATCCTTATCTGTTGAATATTGTTTCTTGTCAAAGGCCTTCTTCTTCTGATTATTAGTCGCTCTTCTTCTTCCGCATGTTAAAAGCACGTCTTCTTCTTAAGTCCACCTTTTCTTATCAAGAATGTCCTTGTTTTCAAAAAAAGCGCTCCCCTCCATACTATTAGCCCTCCTTCTTCCGAGAGTTAAAAAATATGTGTTTTGCCTTAAGTATGCCTTTTCCTATTACTATATTATATTGCCTTCCTCTTCGTATTAGCCCTTGTTCTTCCTCTTCTTCAGGCTGCCTCATCTTATGGACCGTAGCCTTTCCATCTGAGGCATTTCTCCTAATAAGCATTATGTCTAGTCTTAGGGTGCCCCCCTTAACAACTATTCTTTTCTATTCTTGTCTATTGCTTCCTTTGCTTCTGCTTGAGGATTCCTTCTCTCATTAACCCTTTTGTTTCTTTTGCTATTCTTGTCAACTCTTTGTGTTTTTTCTTTTGCTTTTGTTAAACCTTTTGCTTCTTCTTGAGGATTCCTTCTTTTATAAAAGCCTTCCTCTTCTTATTTATCCTTCTTCTTCCTTGTATTAAAATTTATGACTTCTTCTTAACCCTACCCTATCCTTTTCGTCTTAGGCCTTCCTCTTAGACTCTTCATCTTCTTGCGTCTGCCTCTTCTCAAAACCTCTTCTTAAGTCTGCACACTCAAGGACATTCACGAGCAAACAGCAAACGAGTCAAGGGTATACTCAAGCAGACTCACAAGTCACGAGAAAACTGCAGATGAGTCACCCAAGGACACTCAAGGACACTGAGTGTTAGAACCACAATACCGTATGGTCGGTGTTGCTTTCAGAGGATGCACGGACGCAAACAAGCTGAATTACATTTAATTACGCACAAAAACATGCGCTGCAGTATAACCCAAAACAGGTCAACAGGACCCCAGTTATATGACCTGTGCTGCAGCCCAGCCCTGACCCATCCGCCCCACCGAGCCGTGGTCGTCCGGTCTCGACCGCTATACTTCGAGGTTTTGTTCTATGAAAATACAAGGCACATCAAGGCACTCACACGTGCTCAGGTCAGTCACTCAATAACTGCCTTGTTCACATGGAGAGATCCAAACCCACGTATACTTCATAGACGGAACACAAAAGAACAACAAAAATACAAGTGGGACAAAAAACACGTCCAACAAATCATGAAGACAAACAAAGACCAAACGTTGAAAGCTCTGGGGTTCAATATGGTTCAATGCTAGCAGCTAACCAAATCATTCCTCGCATTCCCAAGGTGGCCCGGCATGTCTCGGCATGGCTCAGCGTTTCAGCTTTCCGACCAGCTCTCTCTACTTCTCGTATTCTGAGCTCGTCCCGACCAGCTTTGCAGTGAAGGCTGCCAGCATCAAGCCCAGCAACACCGTTGACCAGGCCTCGGCAGCACAGTCAGACAGGGGGAGCACAAGGTGCTTCTCCTGCTACTCAGGAGTTCGGTGGTGAACGAAGAGAGATGGGGCGCCCGAGAAGAAAAAGTAAAACAACAAACAAACAAAAAGAACGTATAGTCATCCTTTATTGGGGAACGTGACGTGTGGTTCTTGGCTGTAATTCTTCCGCAAGGCAAACCCTGATGCAAGGCAGTGAATGCGAGTGCCATGCCGTGTGTTTTCGCAGAACGTTCGTCCTTCGCAGGACGTTTGCCTTTTTCAGCGCCGAGATGGAATGCAAACCTTGTGGCTGGCGAACCTCTTCAGTCTTCGCCATTTCGTGTGGTCGGTGCTTCGGTGCCTCCCGAAGATCAGGTCAACGATGAGAAGTTCGAGCGAACTTCGCATTGCCCAAAGGCCGTCAAAGGCTTCAAAGGTTTGTCTTTGAAGCTGAACCCCCACTTTGGACCCTCCAAAGTACCTTAGAAAATGGGACATGACCCCATAAAAACAGGTATACTTGTATACCCATTTTCCGAGGTACGAACTGAGACTCCAGGTACTCTAGAAGATTGGACATGACTGACCCTACAAGAAGAGGCCAATAGACAACGTTCTTAAGCCTGTTCAGTTGATAGGTGGTCAAGCATCTTGCCCACAGGTCGGATAAACATCGCTTCGAGCCTAGCATGTCGTGCGCCAAGTACAAGCATCTATTGGAACCTGCCTCCAACCTAATAGTAATGGCCTCCAACCTAATAGCGATGACCTCCAGACAACCTATCTCATTTCCCATGTCTGGACCAAACCAACTCAGTACGCGACCAGCATCGGCGCCTGGCAGAAGAAGAAAACGCACCATGCGATCGCATGCGATTGATGAAGCACTTTCTCCCCAGGAGTTCGGACCAAAGACGCCCTGGAAGATATAACATGAAACCTGATGGACCATTGGAATATAGCATTGTTCCTTCACCACCGGGTTTTTCAGGTTCATCTCGGAACCCGGGCGGTTCCAAACGCTTCGACTACTCGACTGAGTCGAGTCGGGTCGATTCGTTCCCGTTTTCAGGTCGAACATCGGTCGAACATCTGCGAAGGTGCGGTGCAGTGGATCCACATACCACCATGCGGATCCACATACACAGACCGAACCAGACCTGGTACCGCTGAAGACGGAGACTGGAGGGTCGGTCTTGGAGGGTCCGAGCACGCCTTCGTACGGTGGCAGTGGATCCATAGGGATGGTGGAGAATAGGAAAACCTCAAACATGTTACATCAACTGTGCAACGTTGGAGCAGGTGCACGGTTACCTGGAGTTGGATGAGATGAAGTAACTACTGAATGGAATAACATGTCGAAGTCAACAGCTTGCAGTTTCATGATAATCCCAACATCAACTTGGTCTCTGAATGACCATTTAAGATGTCTAACTTGTCAAATCAAAGTCCTGTAGGTCCATAAACAGGCAACATGAGTGATGTGCAAATATCACAGAACATGTTGAGACCTATACCAGTCTGGCTTCTGCCAAAACAGGAACACGGACCCTGTCCTTGTAGAACCACTGTTCTACACACTTTGGGTTTGAAAACCTGGTGTGGCCAGAACAAAGCAATT